CCCCAAAACCCCAAAACCCCAAAACCCCAAAACCCCAAAACCCCAGCTTCTGACTTTGATATTGGAATATATTTAATATATGGAAGCCTTACAAAATATGAAAATTATATCAAACTGTCCTTTACTCTCTACTCAGCAAGAAATGGAGCTTAGTTTTAATGTTAACCCTGGCTTTGAGGATCTCAACCCTAACTATGATCATCAAAAAGATAGTCAGACACTTCTTGGACTATATTTGCATGAATTGCCATACCAGAATGAGCCAAATAAGGTCTCCAACAGACACAATTCAAATGACATACTTCCTGCTCAGGAAGAAAATTTAGATAACATCTACGTCCAAGTCAAAGGTGTTGAAGGAGGATGTGAAATCGATTTCACCATTTCTCAAGATGATATCGAGATTGAAGTCAACCCAGCCTGGTTGCAGGACCAGATAAATTCAATCAAGTGAAATAACCCTTGCAATGAAACTTCTGATGAGTCTCATAACCAATTAACCGCCATCACTAATATAAATCAGGATGAAATGTTGGTAACAAAGCTACAAAAGGAAAACAGAAAGAATCTGGCCGATTCGACTGAATCTTCTGATGTTAAAATGCAACATGAGGATATCCAGAGTCCAAGAATTGTTGAAAAAGCCTTATCATCTTCTTTTGGTGATTGTCAAAAAGAAGAAAGCAATGAAAAACTCAAATTAGAAAATTCTTCTATTAAGAGTGAGAAAACTTCCTCAAAAGATAGGAACAATCAAGGAAAAATAGGTGCAATTAAGAGTCAAGATGAGACTAAGGAATCAGATAACCCTTTACCTAAGAAGAAACTTAGATCTCAGAAGAAAATTGACAACTCAGTGAGGAAGGCTATAGCCAAAAGGAGACTTGTTAAACCTATTAGGAAGAGAACCAAGCTCAAATCCTCAGGTGAAAGCTCCTCCTCAGAGCCCATGGATCTAGCTAAAAGAAGAGATGTAGTTAACAAGACGATATTAAGAGTTGTGAGAAGATATTTCACCTCAAAATTCAAGAAGGCTGTAGACATGAAGTACGGAAATCCTTCTGAGGCTCAAAATAGGTAAGCTAAATAATTTTAAACCCATCTTGGTTCATCAAATTAACTTTTAAAATAATTCTTTCCGTTCTGGATATCTCCCAAATTTCGTTTGGTTACTTCATAATCAATCATCTACTCAACATTCACTAATTTTTAAGAACAAAATTATCCTTTACACTAACCAAGAGCCTGTAGAACTCTATCCTGATGAAAGTGCGGGCAACTTTTATTACTACGCCCAAATATTATTAAAAGATTGCACTGTCTAATAAACTTATGGAGATTTGATAATTGGTTTAGGTTTAGTTAAGTAAATAATCTGTGTTGTTATTTTTAGTGGTGCTAAATGGCTTGCCTCAAGCTCTTGATATCTAGATATTTTGAGAACATCAAAACTTTTTCGCAAAAGTACTTTGGAGAAGATCAAAAAGTGAACTTAGCAGAAATTTCGTTCTATCTCGCAAGCATCATCGAGCCAAAGTACATGAGGGAAGAAGATATAAGCAGCTGAGGGTATACTAAGGAGGACTTCTTGGTATACCACTATTGTTTATATCGATATTCTCATACCAGACTTGTAAACTTATTTGAGAACCAGACGCTAAGGTTCCTTTACTGCCACTTTTATACCCAAGGAAGGGATGAAGTGCTAACTAGCGAGCCTTCTCTGGTCAAGAACAAGGATCTGTATTCCAAAGTAATGCTTGAGTTTAAAGACCCTCAGCATTTTCTTAAGCCTCTTTCTTAACCACTAATTAGGATTAATAAACATTTTCGGAAGAATTGTTGCGCTTTAGAGTTCTTTGGCCTACTCTGTGGTCACATTTTGGGAATTAGGGAAAGTTGAACTAGAGGAAATAGCCAAGATTGTGAGTTTTCAACATAGTATTAAAAATTGGGGTTTTGGGGTTTTGGGGTTTTGGGGTTTTGGGG